AGGAGCAAGAAAAACTGTTGAGCAGAGACGAGGTCGAGACGAAGGCTGAACTTTAATAACCTGGACATTATTAATACTTACACCGTTTATTAGTAATACATGAGCAACTTTAATTATTCTACTATGAACTAATATCAACAAATAGCTGACGTTTGTGACTCCAAACATCCTGATGAGACAAACAAAGGCCCCCACCCCTTCTACAATATGTCAAGACCCCCCCAGACTGAAAGACACACAACACAGCAAAGTCATTGTTGGTAATTTTGTGTCTCTGCAGCTGTTTTCTGTCTCTGTCTCTTTGTGGTTTTTTTAAATCTCCAAATCAAACGGAATAAACCTGAAGTAAATAAAGCTGTTCAGCCTTGTAGCTAACCTGACTACTCTCTTTGTGAGCTTCACTTGTAGCGTTAGCAGAGGAAAGCTCTCAGGACGAGGACGAACCGATGAATCCCACCCTGGGTGTACAGTTGGACTCACTGTAGTGTGAAGGATCTGCACGGACTCCTGAGAAGCGGTGGTGAGCGGCCGCCCGTCCTCGAGGCAGAGTGCGTGTGAAACACGCTTCCATGACCTCTTTTACACGTTTTCCTTTCAACAATTTACCAACTTCTCCGCACACAGCCGAGGGCAGAGGCTTTCTGTGTTTGTGTTCGGTGTTTCTTCTCACATGAAAGCAGGTAGAGACGTAATGAGTCGGTGGTCCTCACGGAGAGAATATAAAGAAACAAAGAAGAAAAGGTTTCGGGAACGACTCTGGTTCTCCGTCTCCAGACTCCGCTCCATCCACCCACAATCAATTTCCTGTCTCTCAGCTCATTAGTCATCTCCACCCCCACCCCCCCCCCTCAGCACCTTCCCCTCTCTCTGAGGATCTGCTGGGTAATCACAGATTCAGTGGAAGCTGAAACCTGGATGCTGCTGCCTCTCTGAACTCTCTTCATTAAGTCAGCTGATTCCCTGAAGGAGATGTGACGTCACATGACAGACACCTACAACCGCCAGAGACGTGACCTCGGCTCCTCTGACCACCAGCAGCTCTCAGGTGAGCTCCACCTGTTCAACTGAGGGATAAAGTTTCACAGAGTCAGCGTCCTGTCATCTGAGAGAAGCTGCGACATGTGGGAGATTATTCCCTCATCTCGTGTGCTGCAGTGTGAGGAGACACGAGGAGATGGAGACAGGAGACAGAGGGGAGAGACGGTCCAAACCGGAGAACGCCGAACAGCTGTGTGTCACCATCAGCTGTACTGAAGCCCCTCTGTCTCTGCTCCACCTCAGAGACAAGAGACGGCAGGAGACGGAGACAGAGGGAGATGGGAGGACATCAGACTGATGCTGCTCTGACCCAGAACGTTAGCGTGAACGTTAGCATGAAGTTGTGGGACTGCTCATAAATCCAGTAATCTATTGTTAATTGAATCATAATGATAAACCAGAAGGTCACACATGACTGACGTAGACACCACAGACAGAAGCAGCAGACCTGCATTAACCCAGAACCTGAACCAGAACCAGAACCAGAACTTGAACCCTGACTACCTCAGATTCTGTCGACAGCCTTTCATCCACACTTCTCTTCTTTCAAGTGTAAAACATTGTTAGAAAAACTACACCAGAGTGAGGACTCGTCTGTTTCTGTGAAAGTTATATATACAGTCAGATGTCATGAACTCGCTCAGAACAATCAGCTTCATGCAGCCTGTAAATATGATCCATCGCTGCTGTTCAGTCTCCTTCTGGGACGTGGTTTGAAGACACGTTTCTGTGTTTCTAACTTTCTCTCAGCAGCAGAAAGAGCTTCTTTAAAATCTTGTTTCGAATACTGAAAACATTTGTCATGTTTAATGTTTCTAACACACACCGTCACTCATCACTTGTCCAGGTTTAAAAGCTCGTCTAAATTCAATCTTGGCGTGGCTTTCATCTGCTCTGCTGGAACAGATCTTTAACCTTGGACCGAGAGGAAGTTGTGAATTATTTCAGTCTCACCTGTTCTCTCTGTCTGGATTCTGTTCTAAGCTTTAAGCTGAAAAGCCAACAAATCCTCTTCTGCTTTGTTAAATATTCATGCATGAATGAAACACAGATGAAAAGAAGGAGAAAAAACTTTTTGTTCATTGTCACATGAAAAGAAAAATATAGCTGGAAATTAAAGTTTCCATCAGACGCTGTGTATATGAAACCGTCTGTACTGTAATTAACCGGCAGCACAGGGACCTTTCTCTCAGAAACAAAGATTATTTTAAGCCTCTTTGTAATCACACTGATGTACTGTATCTGCTCACAGACCGACGCTGGGCTCACACCGTCCGTTTGATGACTCAAGGCTGTATTCAAAACAAACCCATCTACCTGTGCCCTTGAAACTCTGCCCACTAAACACTCAGAAAGGGTTTGTACTTTTCCTCAGTGTTCATTAACGCAGCCGGCTGCTGCTGCCATTGTCCGTCAGATACAGAGTTTCAGATGTAACTGGTCTAAATTATTATCTGCTCAAGGTTTTTGGAGGAAAAATATGAAGCTGTGCAATTAGATTTCTTCATGAGCAGCAGATTGTCAGGTCCTTTAATCGAGAGCGGTTTTCTCTCTGAGTCTCATGATTTCACTGTTTTTCATCCACATTCTCAAGTTTCACTCACACACAGTCCAACAGTACAACACCAGGTCTGTGTGTTTACACTACAGCTGCACAATTCATCAAGACATCGTCCAAATCTCAACATGGTCAAGTGCGATACCCAAATCTCTATAATGTGTCACATTGTTAGCATTAGCATTGTTAGCACAGCGACAGAGACAAATCATATTCTCCAGATTCAAAAGAAACATATTTGTTTGGTACAAGACCAACAGAAATCACATCGTCATCATTTTACATTTTTTTCAGTGAAAATAAAAATGCAAAAATTAAATTTAATCATAAAATGATTTTTTTTTGCATATTGTTCAGCTCTAATTTCCACTATTTAAAACTTTGTCCATGAGCACTGTAGCACTGATGAAAGACAACCAACACCTGCCACCTACATTACCCACAATGCAACTCTGCTGCTGGCAGTTGGGTCAGAGATTGGGGTGAGCTATGCTAGTAGCGGCTAATGTAACTCTGAGTCTTTGGTGTGACAGTCGTGTGATCACATGACTAGTTGTGTTGCCTGGACACGAAATCACAAATCTCCACTTCCTGTTTCCACTCTCATTTTATTTTGAAAGTCCAGACTGAAAGTTTTGATATTTCCTTTTACTGCCGCTTTGACTGATTCTTTCAGTCCGTTCACCACTACTCTTCACACACACACACACACACACACACACACACACACACACACACACACACACACTGACAACAAATAACTGAGACAAAGTGTTTGTGTTTCTGTAAATTAAAACTTTGTCTGGGTTAAACGTATGTCCTGCGTGTGGCCGTCAAGTGTGTAAGTGTGTGTGTGTGTGTGTGTGTGTGTGATGCAGGGGCTTTGCGAGCCTTGCTGGCGTTACAGAGACATCCTTAGTGGAATGGAGAACAAAGAGAGAGGCTCTTAATGAGCTCTGCCACTGCTGAGACCTGAACTAGGCCAGCCAACACCCTGTGTGCATGCATGCATGCATGCGTGTGTGTGTGTGTGTGTGTGTGTGTGTGTGTGTGTGTGTGTGTGTGTCCTGTCGTCAGTGCTGACACACACAGAACACGGTGCAGGACCAGCAGTGGGACCTGAACCAACCACAGGCATTAGCCAGGTGTCTGGAGCGACTGGAAACAGCAGCAGCTCTGCACTGAGACCAGGTTTCATGTGATGTGCTCATTTGTTCTTTTAAACATGCCACAGCACATCACAACAACAACAACAACAACAACAGTGGCTTAGCCCAGCGTTCCTGTTGCACAGTCGGACTCTGTTTATAGAAAGAAGGATGAAAATCGATGCAGCGGCACCAGAGATCCCTGTCTTTTTTTTATTCCACACATCTAGCTTCTTTGTCAAAACATGAATGTCTACGTTACCCACAATGCACCTGGACCTCTGACAGTCTGGTGGAGATTGAGGTGTGATTACAGGAGGTGCTATTGTATCCTAGAGCCTTGGGCAGAAACAACTTTCCCCAGATTACTTTTACTTTTCAAACTTGTCGTCAGACCTCACTCTGACTCAGGTGACATCACCTGAGGACGTCACTCAGACTTCACACTGCTCCACCTGGAGACACAGCTGTCTTCACACAAGCAGCAGAACTCTCCAACACCTGGGAACACCTGGGAACACACACTGGTGGGGTTTCCCTTCAAAATAAGAGCAACAGCAACAGACCACTTTCTCCACTTGTTTGCACCTCAGGTGCGACAGGTGCGGTCTACGAAGCAGCGCACCTGTCCTGTTTGAGGAAGTGGCAGCAGAGCCGAGGTTGTCACCGAGCTCCTCTCTACATCGCTGACTTTTACTGATGATGTCACTTATTTGCTTGTTTTTATTCCTCTGTGCTGTCAACAGTCAGCCATCTTGTTTTCACGTCTCATTCTCGTGGACACGATATCTCTGAAACACCTCGACGGAGCTTCTTCGAATTTAACACAAACATTCACTCGGACTCGAAGACGAACTGATTAAACGTTGGTGGCTGAAAGTCAAAGGTCAAGGTCGTGGTGACCTCACAAAACACTTTTTAGCCATTACTCAAGACTTCACAGCAGTTATGAAATTTCACACAGATGGTTCATATCTTCTCTGACTCTGGATAAACAGGAAGTGACCTGGAACTAGTCTGAGTGGCGGAGGGATACGACCACGAGGACGTGATTTAGTTTTTTATGACAAATACTTTTTACTTGTGACTGATGATCTGAGGGTTCATGACACAGCAATCAACACAACAACACACTCTGTGACCTCAGGAATATAAAAGCAGGAGCAGGTTGTTGAATGTGCAGCTCACAGCTCAGACATGAGGAGGAATCAGGACGTTTAATTAACTCTGCACACGGCTCAGAGTCGGAGGCTTACCCTCAGTCAGGCCCATGTGGATGCTCCAGTAGTTCTGCAGACACTGCAGCTCCTTCTTCATGCCTCTCTTGCAGCGGCAGTCGTACAGCGGCGAGTCCTGCAGCACCTCCAGCGCCCCCTGGCACTCCTTGGAGGCCAGCATGGCGCTGCGCTCCTTGTCCCCCCCGGACAGGCACTGGCGCATGATCCGGTACCGCGAGCTGCACTGGCTGTTCTGGTTGCACAGTTCAGAGGCTCGGACACAGTCCAGAGGTTCCCTCCACCCGGGGGGGCCCAGCTCCGAGTCACACACACACACATCTGCAGAGACAGAGACGTACAGGAATGAGGGATTAGACGGATAATGAGGCTTGATGAGCGTCTGTGGCCGAGTTCATCTGTGAGAGTCGTTATTATTATTATCACCTCGTTAATGTCCACATGATGTTTTTTTATAATACAGACATATGACGATGAATCAATCATCAGCACCATGACTCAGTGTTTCCACCTTGAACCGCAGTGAACCAATGACAGTCTCAGGGTTTCATACGTCACAAACCTCAGGAACCAATCCTGTCAGCTTGTGGGGACAGGGGGGCGGGGCTAAATACACCTGAAACCTTGTCAGTACAGAGTGAGAGTTAGCATTAGCACAGACGCTAACACTGTGCCAGCCACTGCCAGATACAAGCTAACAAACAACATAAACACATAAAAGATGCTAACTAGCTAACTGTTGTGAAAAGATGCTAACTATGCTAACGGTTCTGACCCGTCTGCTAGTCTCTGGTTCTGGTCTCAGACTCCTCCTCTGAGTCTGGGTCTGACTGAGGCTCAAACATGAGGCTGAGTCTCTCTGATGTTTCCTCCTCTCACCATCTTCATACTCTCTGCTCTTTCACCTGTCCACCTGGAGCCAGCAGGTGGTGGGCGGGGCTCAAGGCCTGATCCAGGTTTCTCAACCAGGAAGTGAGAGGAGATGAAAACATGTGAAACTACATCTGAATCACAGCAGAGGATTTTTACAGTTTAAAACACGTCTGGAGAAACTCTAAAGAGTTGTGGAGTTAATGTGTTATAATGTAGAACAGGTGCACTCACCTGTGGTCATGTGAACAAGCAGCTGATGCACATTCACTGTTTTTATGTGACGTGACGTAACTTGTTGGTTTTATTTATTGAACATGTTGATGTTTTACTGCAGATACACAGTGAAGTCTGGAAACAAACTAATGACCATGAGATATCAATAATCAATCTGTGCTGTAAAAAGCCTCATTACAGTTTGTGTCGGGCTCCTTCACACCTCGCAGCCGGTCCAGCCCTGGGCCTTCCCTGTGTGACTTCCCTGTGTGACTTCCCTGTGTGACTTCCCTGTGTTCTGGCTCCTGGAAACTCTCAGTGTCTGCCTCTACGGGAGGAACCGTCGGTGCCAGGCTGCTTTCAGCTCACAGCCAGAACCGGTTTAATGGACACGTATCAGAGCTCTGCTTAAAGAAGAAGAACAAGGAGGCTGCGACAGAAACGCCGCCGTCCCACAACAAGCTGTGAGAACCATTTTCTCAGTCAGGCTGAGCGTAAAATATTTCAACACAGCACTTCTGCAAAGCTGTCAATCATTTATCAGCCGAGCTGTAATTATGGCACGATTCCTAAGCAGCAGTTCCTCTGTTTCTGAGATGTTTGGGGGGGTCTTGTCTTATCACTAGGAGCCCTACTTAATGATCTCTCTGGACAAAGTCAAAAGATACTGGAGGGGAGGAAAAGATACTGTGAGGTGAATTAGAGTAAAAAATAAGTCCTAACTCAGTCAGACCTGAACACACAGGTATGAATCACATAATGATGTGATTCTGTGTGACTTCCACTTCCTGAGGATATCATTATCTCTGATGTCCCTCCAGAATAAAGCTCCAGAAATCCACTTAGAAACCAGAGAGAAAAGGAGTCTGCTTCACTCAGGACCCTCCTGTTTGTAACTTTTCCTCAGTATCACATTGATCCAGTGACAGTTGTCTGAACATCCGCAGCTACACTGCAAACAGGAACTGCTCACAGCTAGCTCAGCTCAGCTGCTTTTAATGGGGACAAAATGTAAAACATGGATTAAAATCAGACATGAGACGGGCCTCTTGCTCTTCTGATGCCTGGCTCCTTTAAGGTGTGTCTGCATGTTTCAGATCAGCAGAAACAACTCAACAAACTCAAGAGATCCCATGTCTACCTCACAGACCACACCTCTGTTCACCTGTTCCAGGTATCAACTCTCTTCTTACATCCACACAGGTGAGTGTACCTGTGCCTCAGCTCAGGCCCCGCCTCTGGGTTTCATCTCTGGTCTTACCCACTTCCTCGTTTTATGCTCCTGCTGAGGTCATCGGTGATGTCACTAGTCAGGGGGAGGGGCCTTTCAGTCAACTGGAGAGGAGCTGTGTGCATCTGGTATATTGATTACATTTATATAATCAATATATTTATATATATATTTATATTTTTATTAGTTAAATCTGCAGGTGAAAGGTGATTTATTTTTTTGTCCACTTGTTTTCAGCAGGGGTGAGTTATGATTTCAGCTTCAAGATGGAAACAAGCTGCAGTGGATTTTTTCCTTTAGAAGAAAACTGTTGGTGGAATTTTCATTTTGTATTTGTATGATTGAAGCCGGCAGCCATGATGAATCTGTGCAGGTGACGCCGCTGCAGGTGAACCGGTCTGTACTTCCTGACCCTTTCCTCACTGTCACTGTTGAACTTGTCTCTTATCTCCACGTCCAGCAGCTACAGATCGACATGATGATCCACGTGTCACCTGATGAAACTCAGTCCACTGTTCCCGCTCTGTGTTTGGTCTCCACCAGCTGCTCTCTGACCGGGTGTGTCTGCTGTGGACAGATGTTTCTCTGAGCACAGCTGGATGAGAGCGGCGAGCCAGTGTGAAGCTGCAGGTTCAGCTGATGATTCTCTGCAGGTTCAACTGTCCTCTCATTCATCATTATTATCATTATTAAAATATCAATTACAGCCTCGTCAGAATTCTGTCACATGGACGTCAGATGCTGAGAGCTCCTCGTTAATTCATTAGAAATTAATTGAAACTACTTCTGACCCACACGCTTCATTAGCTTTGATCTCTTTCAGCAGGTGAAGCACACCTGCACAGACCTGCGGCTGAGGTATAAAGATCCTCCACAGACCCACTCTGTCAAACACTGTGGGACAATGTGCCAAATATTATAGAACAACAACAGTTTACATGATTTACTCAGAGCTACAGAAGCTGTTGTATTGTTGTTGGTCCAAGTTGTGTTTACTGTCACTTCAATAACGTGGGAAAAATCATTATTGGATCATAGAACACGGTCATGACACCAACGAGTGGAGGTCAGACACTGACATGAATATGAAATATTCTTCATATGTATTTTTTAATATATTAATAATGTTTTCATTTATAAACCGATGAAGACCATGAGGTTTGGCATCATGAGAAACTGAATAAGTGGACTTTGAATATCAAACAGCTGTCCTGTGTCAGCTGGTCTTTCTCCACCTCGTTATTTGTCTCTTCACTGAAGTGACACAACGTTAAAAACAAAAAGGTTCATTTTTATTAATGTGTTATTAATGTGTGTGTGTGTGTGTGTGTGGGGGGGGGGGGGGGGGGG